GTTTTTCAGAGGTAGTGAACTACTGACGTGGTGCTTCTCTTTATAAAAATAGCACCGGCGATTGTCTGACAATTGAGGACTTTGTGGAGTGAGGGGGTATTGACCAAATAATCAATCAGGATAATGCAACCCAGTCATCTGTTGATAGCATTAGCACAGTTCAGGATGGGGATGCACTCTCCGACATCCTGTCTGATTAAAATGTTTAAAACAAACGACATCATGTATGTTGACCGCTCTTTCATTATCATAGAATAATGTTGACTTTCATTGCAAAACCACTGAATATTCAATTGAAGGAAAATGCACTGCAACCAGTATAACACTACATCGGAGGATATGACTTTGCTGCTATTTAAGACAGGTCAAAGCAGAGCAACTCATTAAGAGTTTGTAGAAAACTATCAGATTAAACCCTGAACCATCTCATTTGCCATTACTGCATGAATACATGCGAGTGCATGAAACTGGATCCTCTGTACAGATAGTTTCAGAAGATACTTCCTCTTTTCGGTCCTACCTGGCTAAAATAGTGAGTGCTTATTTTTAAAATAATCAACTTTTTTTTAAGTCAACCAGCCAATTGAAAACACAAGAAACTTAATATGTTGATGCGCAGCTTCCAGGAAGTCTAAAGGTTAAAAGTGTATAAAATGGCTACGTAGATAAGGACAACAAGGCCAGACATCAACAATCTCCTCCCTCGTCTCTAGTGTGCAAAGTTTACTTCGACTCAACCTTTGATCCCAGTCATGTTAGAACATACAGTGAAGGACAAACAGGTTTACTTTCAACTAGCACAATGCGCAAACAGCAACGAGACACTTTCTTTTAACCCCGGGAGCTGAAAGCATCAACATAATAATTAACCTCTCAGAGAAGGAAGAACAAATCCTGTCAATATTGGTCAACAGATATAGTTCTGCTTTTTATCCTTCATGTCTTTAGACGTTCACAATTATAAAAGAAAGCTCATTCTTTCAAGGCTCTCTTGTTATGAAGAGGAAACAAACACACAAGTATGACAACTGCTGCTATCTAGTGGACAGCAGCCAAAACTGAAAGTACTCAGAGAAGGAGGAATGCTTTACTGGAACGTAGCAGCAGATTTATGAGTATGTGAAACTCGTCAAACTACGTCAACAAACAGAGACCGCCGTCAAACCAAATCATGTCAGATAACCACACACGCACGTCCAGACACAAAGGTAAAGCAGGTAAGCAAGGATGCACAGGATACATTTAAGGAAAACTATCATGAAGAGGAAGAGTTTGAGGCTCTCACCCTGAGTCGTACGCAGCCTCTTCTGGATCCTCGCATCATCTTGTCTTTTGACTGTGAATCAATAAAACAGAGAGTCAGGGATCAAAACATTTAAAGCATGAGAACATGACGTGCATTTAAATGCTGCACATTTTTACATGTTTATGTTCGGAAATTTCAATAATTCCAACAACTTTCAAAAGTCCAGAAGTTCCAAAAGTCTTATTATAAGAAAATAGAGACGATTTCTCCTAAAATAATAAAAGTAAATGGCAGAAAATGTGACTGATGTCGTGGCTTAATAATTCATGTTAACCATATTTTTAGAGTTACTTTAAGTTTCTTACTTTTTGTTGAAATGAATAACGCTCAGAATAAATTTGGACATG